TCGTCTTACCTCGTTTCAATGCCTGCAGGGCCTCGGCCACTAGTTTTTGGTTGAGTCCACACAAATTTCCGGTTAATTTTTCACATTTCTTGTGACAGGCCATTTCGCAATCTACTTGAAATAATTTTCCAAGAGAAAAAAAAGTGGAAAGAGAATAGAAATGAAAAAATAGTGAGAGATCTGTTTAGATCCATTGATCGATTCCTTTGGCTATTCACTATCCCTCATTGATAATCTCAATTAGTAATTAGTAATCATTAATGGGTGGGGAGAGGGGTGTAATCATCGGCGTGCAATTGAGAAAACCTGATCTATTTAGAAGGTGAAACTTCGTCCAACTTTTCACTTGATTCCAATAAAAATAAATTCACGGTCGAGTTCATTAACGAAGAGTGATAATGGTGAAAATACCGAGAAATTAATTGCCACGTGGCACTAAAATAAAAACATAATGATTTCACGTGCGCAAATCGATTGGTTCGGGCGCGACATCAGGCAATCTTGGCTGAGTTTCAATTCCCTGTCGTCATTTAAATGCGATATTTCATACTTCATTTCGCTTTTCCCTCGTACACACACACGACATAACATTTAGCAAACAAATTTATCCAACATATAAACAGCATTGAAGTTGAGGAGATAAGCATTTATCCAGACATTTATCATGCTTTGATTCATATCTCGTGAGGGAGGAATCACCAATTTGTGTCTCATTAAAATTCATACTTAGTTGATGATTGATTATGGGTGGAAAGTCGCGAAAAGTCTCATCTCCTCAATTAAAAATTCAAATAAAACACGAATCCAAGAGTAATAAAATGAAAAATATAAATATCTGTACTGGATAATCTGGGTGAGCCATCGAATCCAGAGTCATTACTCCTGGTTGAAGAGATTCTCTTCTGTCCGGACTCGTCCTCAATCTCTGTTGAATTACTCCTGGAGCTAGCTGTACCCTGACTGCTCCTCGTACTTCCTGTGCTGTCACTGCTGGCTGATGGTGTTCTCACAGGGTGTTTTTCCTTCTTGACTTTCACCCTCTTCACCTTGGCAAGATCCCTGGGTGTTGCGGTGAGCAATGATGATGGGGTTGTGTAGAACATCTTGTTGAGATCAATTGGTCGTTTCGCTGGTTTTGGTGGACTCGTCTTCAGAATCTTGAGTGGTGCACAAGCCTTGGACAGCTCTATACCACTTGTTATTTTGTCCGGGACTCGTCTTATGATCGTGTCCTCACTGACAGACTTTTTTCGTCTACTCAGCTTCTTCTTCGATACTTTGGGCGTTGCGACCTCATTTCCAGCTTCAGCACCACTGGAGGGGACATTTTTTCCATCCAGTGTTGTTAAATCTGTTGCTTTTTCCCATTTTGATAGGCACCCACTCGTGTCCTCATTAGTTGGGGTCGTTGGACTGTCGTCTTCATCTTCGATTTGATCTTCAGGTACTTGAGGAACTGTTGCTATTGGATCTGGAGTTACGAATGCAAGAGGAATTTCTACTACAGGTGTCGAAGGCTCGGAATTCTCGTCGGGAATTTCGTCAGTATTTTTCTCAGGCTTTTTGCAGACTTCTGATAATGGCTTATCATCAGCTACAGCTGCTGCTGCAGTTACTGGTGGTACAGCTTCCACTGGAGTCACTATTTCTACCAATTTCACATAATCTCCAGGTACTTTAGGTTCAATTTCACTGACTTGGGATAATAATATCTCCATTCTGGTTTCAGTCCCTGTTTCACAATTTCTTTCGCTCGTCAACGAGTTCTCTGAACTCAACGAGTTGTCAAAAATAGCTTCCGGGAGTTTCACTTCTTCTTTCGTTATTGCTTCTTGGATAATTTCACTGGTATTTTGTTTCACTTGGTCTTTTATTATTTCGTCGGGTAATTGTAACTTTAATGACAGCTTTGGACGATCTATTTTGGGAGGTGAGGATTTGTTGATCTCCGACCAGAAGTCTATCTCGTCCGTTTTTTCATCTTCATTGAGGGATGGCAGGAGTTTGGGCTCGGATTTTGCGAGGGGGAAGGAACGTAGGGATTTGAATGGACCTTTTACAGGGATTTCTTCGGTTGATGACACTCGGGTGAGAATTATTTCCGTTGGGGAGTCATTGATCAAGGGAAGGGGAAGGGTTTTTGCACTTGTTATCTTTTTCTTTAACTTCTTCACAGGTGGTACTTTGGCTTTGTCCGATCGCTTAACTTTTTTCGGTGATTTGGATGACAAGAGATTTGATTTCGAGTCCTGATCGCACTCGAAGGACGAACCCTTGGAGCTCTGGAGTTTCTTTTTTGATTTTTTCTCTGGTTGATGTGGATCAAGCTCCAGGGAACCTATTCCACTGTCTGTGGAGAGGTACTTTGATTTTGCCATTTTAGATTTCGGCTTGAGATCTTTGGCTGATAGGGAAGAGAAGGAACTGTCTGTCAAGGAATTTGATTTGCTCAAGGGGTTGATTTTTTCGGGCCCTTCTATTTTGATAGTGATAGCTTCTTTCTCGAGTGGTGATTTTGCTTTTTCTAGCGGCTCTTTTTCTATCATTTCTAATCTAGGCACTAAAGGAAGTGCTGTTTGTACAGGTGAACAACTGGTTTCATTTAAAGTTTTTCTGTCTTCTGAGTGCATTTCTTTTTCTACCGCTGAGGAATTCGAATCGCTCATGAATTTTGTGGTTTCGGTTCTTTCAGTTTCAGTAGAAATGGAGGCAATTCGATTGTCTACAGATAGTTCGGCTTTATCTACAAAATTCTCAACTTTCGGAGACTTCATCTCATCAATACTAGATTTGGAAACTGAGGAAATTCTGCTCTCGGTGGATAAAGATTTCGATTTTTCAACAGATTTATCCTTTTTGCTTTCTGTCGTGTCTACTGAAGATTTCGATTCATCCAACCCTTTGCTTTTTTGAATAATTGGAGACTTAGAAACAGAGGGAATTTTACTCTCAATAGACAGGGACTTGGACTTATCTAGCTTCTCCTTTTTCGAGATCTTAACCTTGCAATCATCTGGAATTTTGCTTTGACTCAAAGATGACTCAAGCTTATTCAACGTTTTATTTTTCTTCAAAATGTCAGTCTGAACAGCTGTAATTCTGTCCTCCCCATTTGTTATTTTTAACTCACTGCAATCGCTTTCCGTCTCGTCCTCTTTTTTACGCACAATTTCCCCATCTCCTTTCCCCGGTGAGAACAACGCCTCGACTTTTTCACTGATTATATCCTGATCGCCTTCCTGGGTATGAACGAGGCCTGCCCCAGGCAATTCCCAGACGCCCTCCCCACTGTCTTCACTCGCCACTGGCATATCCTGGAAAATCTCACAAACATCTTTTTCAAAATTACGATTTAAATAATCATGAGTATTTTCCACTGCACTCTCAACAACACTGGCCCCCGAATTGATAATTTCCACCGAATCCAAACGACTACCTCTCGACGATTCCTCTGATGTTTTCATCAATCCCTTCTGAGTCGAAGTGATTCCACACCTCGCAATCTCATCGATCTCATCCACATCAATATCATTGATCGGTACGTCCTCTGTATCGAGTTTATCTTTAGCCCGGATATTGGCAAGTTTTAAATCACTCTCATTCTTAACCCGATCCATTTTAAATCGTGGCGATATCTGATTGGTCCCTCCGTCATCATCCCTCGGCCCCGATGACTTAGCAATTTGTTGCTTCACGGTCAAGTACACGCTGTTACGTGAATTATCGTGAATGTACGGCTTCTTGATGGGTAAAACGACAACTTCTTCTTCGCTGCACTCCATCTTGGATGGTTTTGGTGGTGGTAGCCTTATGCTCTCCCTGAACTGATCAATCCTTTTCTGGTTGTCTTTAGAGTTGATTAGAATTGTGGAGAAGTCACCGACGCTGTTTGACGCCTCGATCTTGAACAGCTTGGCTGTATTATTGACATCATCTGCTGGTGTTGATGGGGTTGATGGTGTTGATGAGGGGGGTGATGGCTTTTCCGTTGTCTTTTTCTTCTTTTTTATCTTCTTGGGTATCTTCTTCTTGCTGTCGTCGGTCTTGTCGGCCTCGGACTCGGATTTACTTACACCAGCTGATCGTAACTGACTCTTGTGGAGGAGAGTACCTCTTCTAACTTCAACTTCAATCTCCGCTTGCTCTTCGGCGACTAGATTGTCCAGAACTTCTGCCTGCACTTGGGCGATGGCTAATTCTCGTTCCAGCTGGCCCGGATCCATCTGGATATCGGCGGATGAGCGACGACGTGTCATCCTTCGAGTGAGTCTTCCCTGGGGCGCCTCCGACGTGTCATCCGTGGCTTCATTAACTAGGTGATTGTGTTTGGGGGTGTCTTGGGTTGATTTCTTGTCTTTTATGAAGAATTTCTCACGGAGAAGCTCACCCACGGTCTTCTCGTGACGCTCGTTGTGCTCACGAAGAGTTGGATTGTCTTTAAGAGCTTGGGAGCGAATCCTGATGGTTGGACGATCTCGACGCAGACGATTACCAGGACGTGAGTGATCTGTGTGGAGTGTACGCGGTGTTGATACGTCAATGTCAGCTGTGTCGATGATTCTTTTGGGACGTAATGATGTTACTACCGGGGTGTAACGACGGTAATTACTCAAGGGTGATTCGGATATTGTTGATAGGTGAGGGGCAAAGCGGAGGGGTGTGTAGATCCTGGAAAATAAAATTGAACGATTGGTGGAGGTAACTGGTGTGCATTGGGGTGGAGGCAATTTTCAGACGAGTGACATTGAATTCAATTAGTTGTTGGACGATTGAAGATTCTTTTGGATTATGGATTGAGTCAATGAGATTCGAGGATATTTAAGTAATCTGACTCTCTTACGCAATTTACTGCTTTTTTTTTTTGGTACGTCACATTGTGCTTATTTTTAATCGTAAATAAACGTGTTGGGAGAGTTGACGATTCACATTCGTCTTGTTTAAAATTAATTCTGACATGGGGACCTTGAACGACTTTCTTTAAGACACTAGTTGAATAGCAATTGTCGGATAATGTTTACACGTGATTAACTTTCATGTTGGGGTTGTATTGGACTGAATGAGGAGTAGTTAATGCAATTTTTGGGTTTCACGTGGGTGTAGAATTGGGGCAATTGTAATTGCTGATCTGATTGGCATTTCGCCAATTATTATTGAATGATGAATCGGATTAATTTCATTAGTTTATGATGATGGAGATTCATTCTGCAATTGGATGACGAGATTTCTCAAGTGCAATGGATTTAAATGATGCAATTGGAGGCTTTCGGGGCACCAATTGGCTATTATTTTAGTTGTTTAAGGGGAGGGGAAGGGGTCTAGCCAGATGACAGACATTTAAAAAGTAATTAAAAGCCGTTGGAGGTGGTGGGAATGTGAAAAATTCTGTCGGCTGTTGCAATTGCTCGGTGGAATGGTATCGAAGACGCAGTCGATCTCGAATCTATCCAAACTTTTGGCTGAATGACAAATAGCGAGTGCATTGTCTGATTAAAAGGAACTCTAGATTCATACCACAGAAAACAAAAACATTTTCCGTGGATAATTGTTTATGATGTCAACTGTTGGGACAATAATCTTAGGTTTCAGAAAATCATAATCGTCGGAATTTTTTTTATTTATTTCAATTTTAATGAATTCATTTTGTTCAATTCGGTCAAATGATTTTTTACGAAAACAATTATGCAATCGTACATTTCTCTGAAATCCATGGTTACTTCTAAGATTTACATTGAACTCAATTAAAAAATTTAAATTGCAGGATAACGATTGAGAAAAAAATATTCATTTCCAGTAGTTCCGATATTTTTTCTATTAGCGCGATAAAATCTGTCTGTATTCCTAATCAATCGTGTGTTTCAGGGAATCATAATTATCGAAAGTAATTGGAGTAATAAATTCGAATGAATTACTTACTATCGAATTCGCAGAAAACCATAAATTGAATAAATTAGTGCTGAATCCTAATTATTTAATTAATCATATCAAATTAATCCAGGTATTTTTAAACCGAAAAAAGTACGGGATTTGCAAATTTCGGAAAAAATTCAATGTCAGTCGTGAAAATTCCGTTGCAATTCAATTTCGAAATAGACATATCAAAGAAAAAACAATTAAGCAACAAATAATTCTTCCCATCGTAAGCTCAGTTGTATTTTTTCTCTCAACACGAGCCAATTTGTCAGTATTAATAGCCCCTTTGAAAAAAAAATAGTTAACATTTAGCGAGTGGACAAAGGAGTGATTTATATCTATGAAAATGCCTTACCTTCCTGTGCCTGTCATTAAAGAGCTGTGATTAGCGAATGCACCCCCGTAGTAGTAAGACATACTGTCCCCATAATACGACATTGCGACGTCGCAAGATAATCTTCAACACTTGAAATCCGAATATTTATCGATGACAATAACTTGTCGCACTTGTTTCACTGAGTTGAGGGTGTCACTGGATAATTCACGTGATAGACCATTAGGTGTAAAAAGACCGTTCTCACGGTTCAGGGAGCCAAGATCGACTGAGTTTTAAGCCAGCGAACCCATGTGGGTAATTATAGAATTCTAGTGTATGAGGTCTTCTCTAGCACAACACTGTATAGATAGACAAGCAAATCCTAGTCTTTCTAATAACAGAGTTTTACAATGATCTGACCAACCGAGTTACATTTTGTATTTGTAATTGTCGTCAAATTTTGGACGGTGCAGAAATTTTGAGGGGGCTTGGTAAAGGGGCTGGGGAAGCAATAGGGAAGGCTGCCAAAAAATTTCAAGTGGTTACGCGCCAGGAGATGTATCGATTATCAAACTATTCTGGGGAGGGGAGCCAAAGAAATCGATAAGATCAATGTTTCATTACTCAATAAGGGATTACGTCTGGAGGTGATAGGTACAGGTGTTATCATTTAGTGTTATTTGATTTTTCTGTTTAAAAATTCGTATTGAGGGAGAATGTTAACTTCATTCGGTAGGAGAGGAAATTCTGGTTCATCTCGGATGGTAACTTGATGATTTCAGGGTGAAATCACTTTTTTGTTTTCTTCAGGAATTATTGCCGATATCTTCTCATTCTCTTTGTATTTTTATTAATTTCTGAGAAAGTGTTGGAAAAATTTATGTGAAAAAATATACCGTTTTTATGTTTCATTATTATTCAATGTCTCGATCATTATCAGGAGTCTTATTACCGGGAAATAATTTCCCTATGTTCTATGTGAACTTAGGCAATAATTCCCAGAACTTTACCCGAAATATAAAAAAATAGACGCACGATTATGAAAATTGAGTGATTGTGTGAGTCATTGAATAATGATAAAGTCTATGATAGTCTTTTTTTCACGTTAATATGATGCGGGGCTTTCCCGAAATTTTCATAAACAATAACATTAAACATGAGAAGAGATCAGCGACAACTTGTTAATTGCGAATTGAGTTTGAATTAGGGAATTGATGTTGGAACGTCTGTTGGTTTTTGGAACTGCTTGGGGATTTTCCAGAATGGTTTTAATGGTCTTCAATGATTATTTAATTTGATAGTCGTAAACAATTGAACGGAATAACAAACTTACCATCGCACTTGAGGCCTTGACGAAAGAATCCGTAGAGCATTGAGCCACAGTGATCACAGAATGTTGGAGACATGAAGGTGTGGGGTCGAAACCTATGGGGCACATCCACCTTGAATCGTTCCCTCAAGTACTGAATGCAATAAATCGAAATATTAATTATCTTGTTAATTCGGTGGAGGAAACATTTTTCACGATCAATCATTGGTTGATTTTTGATTTTTTTTTCACACCTTGGCAGCTACAAATTCTCAATGCTTTTTTTTTCTCAACTGATTGCCTTAAATTTAATGATTAATCCATTCGTTAATTCTGGGGGTAAATTATTTTTCCGGTATTATAATTCCTTTTAAAATTCTTCGGTCAGGTTTTTGGAATTTAGGGAGAGGGAAATGTGAGAGAATTTCTATTATACTGAATTCTATAGATTTAATCATTAATGAGATCATTGATTCAGGGTGGAAATTAATTTTGTTTAGGTTTCAATTATTTAGAGAAGGAAAGAATTATGGAAAAATTGATTTTTACATTCGAATCATTAATTTATTAATTAAGGAGAGCAATTAAAAGTTCTTAGAGCGGGGTAGATCATTTCCAGAGTTTTTGTTTAGATTTTGTGCATCTGGGGTGAGGAAAATATGAAGTGCTTTATTTTTTCCATGACTTAAAACACTGCAAATGAGGAAAATATGATATTAAGCTGATTTCAAGCTCACACGAAGCTTTCATGCCCCATCGAGACCTTTTTGCTCGAAACACTCAATAAATCAAAAGTCGAGTAACTTCCTAAAACAAATAAATTCACCAAGTGAATATGATGAGTGTGAAGTCATGCAGGCGTCCTCATTCTTTTAATTTTCCAAACTTAAGATTGAATGAATTACCGAGTCATTCAGTAGTGAAAGGATAGGATAAAAAAATGTTAATACATATCAGAGCTTCAGGGAATGAAAATAAGTGGTTTATAAAATAGTATCTGCAA